AAGATTACGGTTTAGCCTCCTACCGGGTCTCAATTTATCGCTGCATTCTGTGAATCAACAGGACCATTCAGTAAGTGAAGAGGGATGAGGGTTGGAGAGTTTTCTGTGATTTGATCTCTTAGATTCTTGGTCTTAATGAACGAGCCCATTTTTGAATTGACGATCCTCTTTCTAAAAATTTTGAGTTCAGAATTTTGACCGCATTGGAATGAATGTTGGCTGATTCGGAGCATTTCTGGAGAAATTTTACTGAAAATTTAGACGGAAATGTATGGGTTAGTTTGGAGTGCATGCTGAATTTAGTGTTCCCCGGATTCAGTACTAGTGAATAACAAATAACGTATTTTCAGATGTATACTTTTTCCCGGGCAATTAGATAATACTTCCTATGTACAACCTGAAATAGGTATAACTGCTAGACAGAAAAATTAATTTTTGGAAATAAAATTTTTTGCACTTACCTAGGTGAGTTATAGTTACGACGAGTACATGTACGTCGGAGGATAAATGCTCTTGTCGGATTGTTATCACTGGCAACAGATGAAGTAGCAGTGGCTGTTTGATGGTACTGTTGATTGCTGGCCACAAGGACTGTTTGTTGTTTGAGCAGTTGTGTGGTACGTATAAAAGTGATGGCCATAATGAGAAATGGTATGAGGAATGCAAATGTGGAACCATAAATCATATAGTAACGATTCGTTATTACACAAGTATTACGATTAAAAATATTTGTCGAATCCAGAAGTGCAGCAATAGCAATTGGACAGGAAATAAGCACGGTACCAATCCAGACAAAAATAATCTTTACTGTAATCATTGTTTTTGTTTTATTCCGCGATTTCAATGGTTTCGAGATACCTGAAAAATTTGAGACGTGATTTTGAGACGACATCTCACAATAGATAAAAAACACAAGATTTTCTGGGTTTTTTTTGTCTTGAAATTGCCTAGTTTTTTTTTCCGATGCTTTCATAATCTTATAAGTTTATAGCAAGCAGCTTATCAATGTTACTCTAACAGTATTACTAGTAGAAATGGGTAATTTACATATCGTTTTATAAAAGGAATGGACTCAGGAAATAGAGGCTCCTGGAATGCGGCTACGAATGCCCCCAA